AAGGCAGTCGCTTAACCAACTGAGCCACCCAGGCGCCCAGAACCTTCAAATTTTAGCTGGGCACATGGACACCCAGAAAAAAAAGACTACATTTCCCAGCCTCTCTTGCAGCTACAATGATCATTGTAGGGGTTAGAGACAAGTTCTTGGGGACAGGATATAAAAGGAAGTGGTGTGTGAGGCTTCAGACAAGGTCCTGAAAGGGGGTCATGCCCTTTCCTCCCTTCTATGGCTGAAATGTGGAGATGAAAGCTAAAGCAGCCATCTTGGATGATGTTGCAGAAAGTATATGTTGGGGATGGCAAGGGAAAGAACCAAGTAGGAGAAGCCTGGGTCCCTGAAGATGCTGGGGCTGTCATGAGATCCTTGGGCTGTCTATTTACATGTAGAGAGTTTTACTTCTATCTTACTTAAACCATTGTTATTTCTGGCTTTTTGTCATATGTTGTGACTCCAAGGTTGACAGCCCCTAATCTGGCCAACCCTCTTGGTTTTCAGATGAGAACAAGAAGCCTGGAGAAGTGAGTGGCTCAGCTAAAATCACAGAGCTAGTGAGGCACAGACCTGGGAATGAAATCTAGGTCTCTTGGGTTCTGGATCAATGCCCTTTTTTTACCACCCCAGGCTTTCTCAAAGTCACTGTTAGAAGCCATGCCTAGAATTGAGATCAGAGTTCGGCTATTGAACCGAGATGAGTGACTAAACACATGTGCCTACCTATCTCTTGTCCAAAGTCTTGCTGTAAAGTCAGAGAAAACATTTTTAAAAGGGTAAGTCCAGAGTAGTGTGGGAATACAAGAGATGGTACTATTAGCAGATCAAAGATTTGAGCGTTCCTGGAAGGAAAGCAGAGGAGTCCACCTTCTGTCTCAATCTGCTCAGGTTGCTATAACAAAATACCATAGACCGGTGGCTTCAAGCAACAGATATTTATTTCTCACAATTCTGGAGGCTTGGAAGTCCAAGATCAAAGTACAGGCAAATTTGGTTCCTGGTGAGAGCCCTCTCCCTAGCTTATAGACAGCTGCCTTCTCACTATGTTCTCACATACATTTTGTAAGGACACTAATCCCATCATGGGGGCTCCATCCTCATGACCTCCTCTAAACCTAATTATTTTCCAAAAGCCCTATCTCCAAATGCATTGTGGGTTAGGGCCTCAGCATATGAATTTTAGAGGGACATAAACATTCAGTCCCTAACAATTCCCCATGCTAGAACTAAACTCAGGGAGATTTGAAAAAATGTTATATCCATAAAACAAGGGGAGAAAACCCTTCGCTAATGGGTTATTAAATAGCACATAGCTGACAACTGAATTACTGAGTTGGAAGATGAACCCAAGAGGTTGGGTTAGAACTCAAAATGAAAATAGCTAGAGAGGGAAAAGAGTTAAGATGCATGGTGGATAGATCTAGAAGTTTATGCATTTGTGTAGAAGTGAATAATGAAGAGACTAGAGGGGAAGAAATAAAGAAATAGTAGAAGAAGAAAAATTTCCAGGGCTGAAAAAAGAGGAATCTTCTGACTGCACATATCCTCTAAATCCTGAATAGGATGAAGGAGACTAAATCCACATCAAGAGACACCCTGGCAACATTTCAGAAATCACAGCCCTTGTTGCTACAGGATCTAGACACACTTCAAATTGCTTAAGACTGTGGGATTGTTACTGCTTCAGTAACCTAACTCCTGAAATAACTCTCCTATACTCTGTTCTCAAGGTGTATAGAACAAGCAGCCAATGGATGTGTCTTGATTGAAGTGCCTCAAGAGGAAAATGCCCAGAAACACTATAAATTTAGATTCTAGGGAGAGTATCACATAAAACAGAATGCAAAATAACAGTAAGGGAGATAAACAATTATTCATAGAAGAAAATAACAATTTTATATCTGTGCCTGCTGTTGAAGTCCTACAAAAAGAACACCAAGGAAACCTGCTGCTTATAAAGCTGAGTTTATTGAAATTGCTGAGCAAGGGAAAACATGACCTGACAGTCTCGGTAGGGTCTCCAAAGAGGGAAGTTAGGGAAGGATACTTATATAGACTGTGTAGGACTGGAGTTAGGTCAGAATTGACAGAATTTGTAAATCTGGCAGGTTGCTGGAACATCCGTGGTCTTTGGAACACATAAATCCATGTGATGTTACTGTGACTATAGTCTTATCTTGAAATATATGGATCTGAATGAGCTAGTGTTAAAATGATTTGAGTTTAGATAGTTTATATTGCATAGTATGGTTTGGTACTTTTGAAAATCAAAGTACAGGTTTTTTGATTTTTTTGTTTATATGTTTGTTGTTGCAAATTGTGGTTACCATTCCTTTCCTCACCTTAGTATCTAGGCTACTGCCTGGATGGGCACTCAATGTTGAATGAATTAGTAAATTAACTATTAGAGAAGAATCCAGAACAAAGGTAAAGGTCTTAAATGTCTACGTGCAAAAGCATATGGCAATGCTTAATAAAAATGCAGATTCCTGGGGATACCCCCCAGATAATTTGATTCAGTAGGTCTGGATTTTGGGTGAGGTGATTCTGATGCAATTGGTCTACAGCTTTCACTTTTGAGAAACTAGTGTAGTGGCATGAGGACAGACAAAGTGGGCTTGAGATGTTAACAAGTACAAGGAAGTAAGACCTACAGGTACCTCTGAGACTTGGTCAGATAGGATGGATAAGTGAACTAAGGTAATCAAGAGCTATGTCCCCCTCAAAACAAGCCAGCCGATAGAAAAGGGAGCAGAATGAATCTGTACATCTATAAGAACACGCCTACCTACCAATCCATGCATCTCCATGTGATACACAGTGGCAAGCGTTTAGCTGAGTATTAAGGGGAAATCAAAGTAGATTACTGGCGGAAAAAAAAAAGAAATGGTATTGCTATGGTAGAGCATTTTAGATTACAGTGTCTTAACAGATATGTTACTAGGTTATTTCTTATTAATAATAAAAGGCCTAAATTTGAATTTGTTATTATGGTATTTATTGAGGTAAATTAACATCAAATTAACCGTTTTAGAGTGAACAACTCAGCGGCAGTTGGTACATTCACAATGTTGTGCAACAACCACCTCCCTCTAATTCCAAAAC